CCCATTGCCAAGTCACTCAGTTCTCGTCCTTGTGCAGCCTCCTATTGGTTTCCCATGAGTCAAAGCTTAGCTGCTTTGCTTTTAACAACTACAGGACACAATGTATGAAGAAAACAATTTAAAAAATAATAAATACCTTTAAATTTAAGAAAAAGCACTTATTTTCTGTTAGAAGTATGTTGATATTTATAAATGTGTTCTCATAGCAAGTTTGTGTCTTGTACTTTGTGACTCAAATGTCATGAACATTTCCATGCCTTTTAATATCATTTCACAGCATTGTTTTTAACATTTCATTGTTCCATTTTATCCACCTACTACAATATCTACTAGACATGCATGCCCTGGTGATAAATGTTCTCATCATTTGTAACTTGGGTGAACACTTGGTACCCAGTTGGTGGTACTGTTTGGAAAGGTTGTGGAAGTTTCAGATTGTGGAGCCTTTCTGGAGGAAGCACGTGACTGGGAGCGGACTTTGAGGATTAATAACCTCAGTCCACTTCCTGCTCTCTTCCTCTGCTCCCTGTGTGTGACAATATCAACCATCACAGATAGATTCTAAGGTGATTATTTGATAAAGTACCTGAAGCATAGAAGATATTCAGTAGTTGGTCATTTTGAGCTCGTCCTCAAGTGGTGATTAGGCAAATACTTACCATGATAACTTTATGCTTCGAAAATAGGCAGCAGAAGTCTGGATTGCTAGCGTGTGTTGTGCAAAGTGAAGTTCCAACAGCAAGCAAAGAGATGCCTCACAGAGTAAACACACACAGATTCTTGAGGGGTCTCTACTCAGGTAGAGGTTTAGGATCACAGTTGATAGAACACATGCTGGGTTAGGACACAGAGGAGAAACACACTGGGCTTCCACTACTCAATGAGGCAGAACACAAAACACGCACACACTTGATGCAAAGAGAACAAATAGTGAGGTGGCACTTTAGGCACCAAAGCCACATATATAAGAATGTAGATACACGGATACAAACAAAGCATCCACCAATCTTCATGGTCTGTTTATAAGTGGTAAATACAAGTACACATATTTCCTAATGACAATGCTTGACAAGTTATAACAATGCTGAGAAACTTAATCAGTGAGCCATTTCCAGAGAAGAAGACCTCTGAAGAATAATTTAAAAACATTATTACACAACCATCCTCTCATTCACTCGTGAATCCATTCAACAATCAGCCTCAGCCTCTTGCAATTGGGTTTCTGGGGCTGGAGGGACAGCTGAGTGGTTAAGAGCACCTCTTGCTTTTGCAGAAGTGATGGGGAAATCCTGTGTATATGTCAATAAAGCACTGTTGGCCAATAGGGAAGCAAGATAGGTGGGACTAGGAGTCCAGGAGGACTCTTGGTAGGAAAAACACAGGGAGTCAAGATGTAACCGCCATAGGGGTAAGCAGCCCGGAAACTTTTCTCTGGCAAGAGAAATACTTAGATTGGCAGTTATGGGGTAAATACTTACATCAGAGACATCCAGTAAGAAACAAACAAGGCCAACAGCTTCAGAATTAATACAGCGTCTTGTGTGTTATTTGGGGACTACAACGCAGCAGAGCCCAGGTGACTGGCAGGGAAAAACCAAAGCGGCTGGCAAGGAAAAGTCTTCTCTCTACACAGAAGACTTGGATTGTGTTTGTAGCACCCACATGGTGATTCACAACCATCTATAACCCCAGTTTCAAGGAATCCAACACCCTCTTCTGATCTCCATGGGCAACCAGGTATAAATATGCTGCACAGTCATACATGCAGGCAAAGCTCTCGTACGCACAAAATAAATAAATCTAAAACTTCTTTTAAGAGAAAATTGCACTATACTCTTTTGCCCCCAAGAGAAAAGAATTTCAGAACTCTGGTCAAGATGAGTATCAAATGTATTATTATTTTTAATAAATCTTCCTGAGGTTCCTTAGCCAAACCATCCCCATAAAATATCTAAAGTACAGTGTCTTCTCACTGTGACCACACATTTACTAGTGAGAAAGTGAAAAGGCAGAAATAAGAAACAAGTGCCAATTTCTGTCTTTGTTGCTGATTCCCTATGTTAGCAAATTCCTTGTAATCCATTGGTGCCAAGTCGTGAGCATTGAATTCCCAGGGTGCACCAGAACCCTATGCCAACTGGGTACTTCTGGGTGTTGCAGTCACCTCACTTTTCGGTTCTGGAGTTCTGTTCATAAAAAGAACTGCAGTTGGTGTCACATTGCACAAGTTCCTGGAGCCTCGGGGAGAATAATGACACAAATCAATAATGCTGTCTGGGAAATGGCTTAGAATAAAATATTCCAGAAGAGCGCGAGCATCACCCAGGGGGAGACTTCAAGTGCTGATTAAATATGGCTGCCTCAGCTCTCTTCCACGCAGTGACAGATGGGGACAGAGTGCTTACTTTGGCGTTTGATGCACTTTTCTGACCTAGGGTTACCAGAGTTACATTAAGTAACACTGAGGCTTCTGTGAGCTCGCACGCCCCCTGGAGGCCGACACTGCTCACACACACACACACACACACACACACACACACACATACAGAGACCCGCCTTTCAGGAGACCCACACACCTTGTAGGAAGTTTCTGACAGGGATTTTTCTCAGGCCCTACTGTAAAAGAAATTAATAAACAAAAATAGATAACAAACATGGTATGTACTCACTCATATATGGATTTTAGACATGGATCAGGATTGTGCCAGTCTGCACTTCCACTGACAGAGTCTGGGAAACAGGAAAGAACCTAAAAGATATGCATGGTACCCAAGAGAAGAGGAATGAGGCAAGATCCTCTGAACAGATGGGGAACACGGCGAGGGGTGGGAGGGAGTGGGAACTGGGAAGAAGAGAGGGGGAGAAGAGGAAGAGAGAGTAGGTCATGGGGGAACAGGAAGGTTGAGTGGTAGGTAGAATAGGGGGAGATCAGGATGAGAAATACCATAAAAGAGGGAGTCATAGGTTGGAAGACAGATCTGGCACCAGTGAGACCTCTAGTGATCTAAAGGGATGACACCAATTGGCAAGCTAAGCAATAGTGGAGAGACCACCTCGAATGCCCATTCCTGATAATGAACTTGATGTCTATAACAATCCGGGAGCCTTCATCAAGTGACTGATGGAAGCAGAGGCAAACACCCAGTTAAACACTGAACTGAACCCAAGGAACCCAGTGACAGAGAGAGAGGAGCGATGAGCAAATTGGCAAAGAATGGGCTGGCAAAACCAGCAGAGACAGCTAATCTGAACAGGGGAGAGCTCTTGGACCCCAGACCGACAGCTGGGAGGCCAGCATGGGACTGATTAAGACCCCCCGAATGTGAGAGTCAGTGAGGAGGCCTGGACAACCTATGGGGCCCTGAGCAGTGGATCAGTGTTTATCCCTGGAATACAAACAGACATTGTGTGTCCATAGCACAAAGAGGGATGCTCTCTCAGCCTGGACTCTTAGGGGAGTGCCTGGACCCTACCCTGAGTGAAATGACAGACTCTAGATATCCCCTTTGTGGAAGGAATTGGCAATAGGGTGGGAGGCTGGGGGGGATGATGGGGGAGTGTGGGAGTAGGGGAGGGAGAGGGAACTGGGATTGACATGTAAAACAAGCTATTTAAAATTTTTTTAAAAAGAAAAAAATTAAAATAATGAAAAAAAATCTAAAAAACAATGAAATAGATAACGCTGACTCTCCTTTTCCTCAGTCTCCATGCCTCAAAGGAAACAGAAAAAAAAAAGGTTCATTTATTCAAGGTGACAAAATGTCTTCGTGTACAAAAAATGAACGAAGTAGTTCAAATAGGAATTGCCGTTTGCAGGCTATCTAGATAAATGTCAGCTTTAAATCACGTTTGAAGCATTAAAAAAGAAATAATGAGCTCCAGTTTGCATTATCATGTATCAACAATTTATTCTTTCTGTATTTCTGCTGTGTCTGAACTACTGAGGCTTGAAAACATACTATGTGACACCCAAATAATATAAGTATGTTTATTTATCCATTCCAATCTAATTATGCTGTAAACTTATTGTAGCACTGATTTTAAAAGTTCCAACATCGGGGACTGGAGAGATAGTTCAGAGATCAAGAGACTTCCAGAGGACCTGGGTTCAATTCCCAGCACCCACATGGCAGCTCACAACTGTATATAGTTGCAATTCCAGGGGATCTGATACCCCCATACAGGTATCCATGCAAGCAAAACACCATTGCACATGAAATAAAAATAAATAAATAATTTTAGGTAAATATGCTCAACATTATTTATTCTACCAACTCTTTAATTTTGGCCTTTCATAGAGATAAAGCAAACAAGCAAATAAACAAAACATATTCTAATCCATGGAAATAAAAAGTGTGGGTGGCATAGCTATTGCCTGTGATACGAAGGACATTGATTTCCTCTGGGAGTGAGTCCTGTGTCCCTGGGTACCCTCTGTCTGGAGAGCGGTCCAGAAAGGGTTGTGGCCCACTCAACTATGTTATAAGTTTGATTGAAACCATTAGCTAGAATATAATGAATTCCATATGCCAGCCTTATTTGGTATTTTTTTAAAGATAGAATTTTTTAAACATGTAATTGTGATAAATCCACTCTGGGTAATTTGTGTATTTCTTCTCTCTCTCTCTCTCTCTCTCTCTCTCTCTCTCTCTCTCTCTCTCTCTCTCTCTCTCTCTCTCTCTCTCTCTCCTTTCTTCCTTTCCTTCTTTCTTTCTTTCTTTCCTTCTTTCTTCCTTCCTTCCTTTCTTCCTTTCCCTCCGAGATTCATTTTACCTACTATTTTAAGAAGTTAAATGGTATTTATACATCAGTGGCTCTAGGCTGACTGGGCTCAATGAATTCACATTCAGCCACTTTTCCCAATATCTTTTTCCTTAACAATTATTTAAGCATCTAGGACAACAGTTTTGCTTTTTCAAATCACTTGTGCCTACAAGCTTTTTGTTGATAGCTAGCCTTACTCCTCCTTAAATACAGATGTTCTGTAAGAAACCAGTAACTGAGGCCAACTTTCCATTTATTTAAATGGGAAAAAATTAAAATGTGCTGCATCATGATCCCAAGCTCCCAACCAAATTATTAAGACCTAGTAAGATTCCAATATACAAATAGCAAACAATGAGTTCGAATAGAAAGACTTAAAATAACTCTCAATCACTCAACAGCTAATACATAGTAAATGTGTGATTGTTCTGTGCAGAATAAGGTGGACTTTTTTTTAATGCTAGCAGCTTTCATGAAGAATCCTGATACTAATTGTACTTATAACATAAGCCTATCCCAATGTATTCATGAGTGTGGAAGAATGTTTTGCCCCTTTAAAAAAATAGCCAGCTAAATGATGCTGTGCCAAGGAAATACGCATATTAGGGCACTGAGTCCAAAGAAGCCATTCTCCCAGCAAACCTTCAACAGGGTGAGCTTTCTTGGTCAGTGTCACCCAGTAACTCTAGCAGCTGCCTCAAAACTACCTGATGGCTCATTGGGGACCATTAAGTCCAAGCTGGATGACCCTGTAGTCAAAATAGCTCACAGCTGTTGCCACCAGTATACTACCTTTTTGAAGCTGCCAGTGCAAACCACAATGAATCTGATGGCTTAAAGCAACAGAAGCTTGTTCTGTGACAGCTCTGGAAGTCAGAGGCTCAACACCAACGTGTCCTTGGTGTGACTTTGAGGCAGAATCTGCCTCCTTCATCGCACTTAGCTTCTCGCAGCTACTAGCAACACCTCATAGTCCTTGTCTTGCAAGCACACTCCCATTCTTCATGTTTCTGTCCTCATCTTCCTCCTCTGTCTTCCGTCACCTCTTACCAAGGTTAGAGTCCACCCTTGACCTTGACATACTCCTCCCAAATTTATAGACCAATCACACCTGCAGAGACTCTTTTCCATTTACTCATCCTCCCAGCTCCGGGTAAGTGTCTTCAAAAGTAAGTGGGCACATTCGACCTGTTGTAACATCAATTCTAGAAAACAGACCCACAGAGGCAAGGCTGTCACATGTCTCCTTCCCCCGTGGGCTTCAGCAACATAATTATCATTCATTCCATTACATCTTCTTTTCCTCTAGGAAACAATGAAGGGCTCTGAAGTTTTTGAGTAAGTTGGAGGGCAGGGGATTCCCCTAACTGAGGTAAGCCATACAGGTAAATTTTATCCTGGTTTCTTGAAGCTACCACCGCCTATAAGTCTAAAAGCCATCCTAGAGGCAAGGGGCTGAGGGTCTCCAGAGGCAGGACCTTGTGACCGGTGACCACCACGGTCTCTTTGGAGATGTATCAGGAGCATTGTGGGCTTTCTGATTCCCTTTCTTAGACATTGCTTCTGAAGTACTTCCTTTAAATCTGGCAAAAGACAGCTTCCCAGGTTAGATACAGTGTGTGAGTATAAAGCAAGGCTGAATCTCCAGACTGCAGTATTTGAAAAGTCTCTGAACTTCATAACTGGTGACTTGGACGAACATTACAGTACTTGTGGATAATTCAACAAGAAACTGAGCTCACGGATTCCAGCCCATTTTTATTAATAATGAGTAAAATAAGGACAATGTGTGGTGTGTGCAAATGTAGATACTTACACATTTTCATAAGCATATACGTCTATTTATATACTGTGTTTGTAACCAATGAAAACTCGCTGATGTCTCTGCAGAAGCCTTTTTGCTGTTGTTGTTATCAACGGACTTTGCCCTTCTAAGGTCCCTCACTACTCCCTCCTCTTTTAACTGCCTCTTTAATTTTTTTAAATAAAGTTTTCTTTCAAGTCCTCTACTGTTACAGTGTTTCGGCCATCAAAGTCCCCTCCTGGCCATTTTCATTTACCTTGTGACTCTGACCCTTTGTGAAACTGAGCATTTTCGGAGTAAGCTGATCCTGTGGGTCCCCAAGGATGTTATTCTCATTTATTCTCTCAGCCCTTTGAATGGAGCGGTCTGCTCTTGGCAGTGATTCAGCGGGGGCCCACATTCAAAGAAGCACACAGTCCTTTCTCTTCCTGGGGCCTTTCAAAACGCAGCCCGGGGTTTGTCGAAGGGCTCTAATGGATGTCAGTCATTGAGCACGTTACATTTCATTCATGGCTGCCAGCGAACGTGATGAGTCGAGCAGTAAGTAGTAAAAGAAAACCAGCAGACAATCGGGTTAATGGATCGTTTTCCCTGCCTGTGTGACACGGTGGGCCTGGGAGACACGACTGGAGAAATGAAACACAGGAGTTAGTGCTCTTGTCCTAACATCTCACCCAGGCCTCCTAGACAACCTCGGAGGGAAGAGCTCCGAGTGAGTATTAATCCGAAAGGCTGGTATCAGGAAGGAGCAGAACTGTGGAGCCCCAGTGCCTATTTCCCCCTCCCCAGGCTGTCATGAAACTAGACAGCCGGCTTCTGTGCCTCCTACATGCTTGGTTACCTCTGGCAGCTGGCTCTACTTTCCCAAACTTCACAATGCTTGGGATGCCACAACCTCTGAAGAGCTGCAAGGGGATGGTCGATGAAGCTCAGAGACAGTGGGGGTGGGGGGAGCACAGATGGGGGATGGGGACAAAGGCTTGGCTGGGACCTCTGTACCTGCCAACTGGTGTGTCACAGAGAGGCTAAAATTACTGGCTGGCCAATTATCTGATTAAAGAGAACCTTTCATTTGAGGCTTAAAAAAATCCAGACTGAAATCAAAACCTTCCAGTAAGTTACCTAAAGTATTTTTTAAAAATGGCCATAATCTACATGGGGGAGGGGAGGGTGGTTTTAAAAAGAAAAGGAAAGAAAAGGGGAGGGGAAAAAGAGGGAAGAAAGGAAAAAGGAAAAGAAAATGAAAAAAAGAAATGATGCAGGGAGACACACTTTGTTCTAGAATGTTCTCTGCCTTTCTTTCTTCCTTGGCTTTGCTTGTTTTGGAGGGGAGTTCCATAGCAATATTATGTACTAGAACCTCTGATATCAGATTTACTCTTAGTCATCTACACACACACACACAGCACTCATAATTATAGTTTCAAATTAGTTGAGTCAATTGATTAAGTAAGGTACCAGTGATCCCCAAAAGCAATTCATATTTTATTAGCTTTGGAGTTTCACCAGAATCCTCTTCTATTATGCAGCCCATGAATTACGTCTCTGTCGGGCCGCATCAGAACTGCATTTTTATGGGTCTTGGATTCCATAGAGACTGTTGTGGTTTGAGAATAGCAGAACAATGTGCTGCTGCTTCACCAGCCAGTAATGACCTCCTCCGTTGTTAAAGGCCCCAAACCACAGCAGGCAAGTGGGCTGAGCCTCCCTAGAGCAGGCAAGTGGGCTGAGCCTCCCTAGAGCATGTGACAGCCTGAAAGGTGACCCTCAGCTCTTCTTCAGTGCATGCTGAGTTGTTGTCTTGAAATCTTACTAATAACTTCACCATGGTTTATGCTTTAACAGAGGAGAGAGAGAGAGAGAGAGAGAGAGAGAGAGAGAGAGAGAGAGAGAGAGAGAGAGAGAGAGACTGCAAATTGTGGAGTCAGCAAACAGCAATGTCAGAACTTATTTTTAGAAAACTCAGTCTAGAATAAAGACTTCGAGGTTTCGAGGGCACAAAATAACTGGGTGCTGGTAGTGCTGCTCAATGGCAGAGCTCAAGCTTCAAATGCTCAAGGCTCTGCATTAAGCCCAGCATGTATGCATACCGGAATACACACACACACACACACTCTCACGCATGCATGCACGCACACATATACAATACACATACACACAGAAATACATGCACAGACACACAGAAATACATGCACAGACACACACTCTATTGTGCACCTTGGTTTGAAAAAAATTAGACTAGTGAGTAAATACAGGAGAAAGGAAACAAATGGAAGAAGAGGAACGAAAACAGCAGGAAATACTACGGAGGGAGGGAGGGGCCACAAGGAAGAAGTAGACGGAGAAAAACCTCACTTTTTCAATTCATGAATGTATGACCTATGCTCAGATTAGCACGATCAAGGGCGCACACCGACAAATGGAAGGGTGACTGTACACACACAAGCATGCACCCACACGAACCTCAGAAGCCATAGAAAGACAGGTGCCGACAACAGCATGATTGAATTTGTTCTCCCTACGCAGTGGGCAGTTCTATTCGCAAACCCCATCCCAAAATACACACACTTGCATGACATGGCTGTTGCCATCTTGTCATCAAGGAGAACTTTTCTAGTGCTTATTTCTTGTTCCTTCTCCAGTCTACCCCAGATCTACGTACACCTCTTACAGGGTGTAAGTAACAGCATTACAGCCGAGCCAGCTCTGCCTCACAAGAACTTGCCATCTTGCCCTTACCTGCTCCCACAGGTGGCACACAGACCCTGCCCACGGCTCGCCATAACTGGAGCTCCCGGTACAGGATGAACTCAATTGTTTCAAAAGCGCTTTCATCTGGGAGCCTAAACTCACCAACCTCTCCCATTCTTTTTAGTTCTCTAACTGGGTAGCAGTGTCTATGTTTCCCCTACCCCTCCACCCACTATGGAAACAGCCTTTGAAATTGTTAGCACAACTTGTCGTTCTCTCTGGCAAAATGAGTACACTCCCCCAGCTACTCCTTATGTGATATGGTTTCCAGACCTGTCACCATTCTTCCTTTGAACGTGTTCCAGTTCGCTGTCAACTTCCCTCTTAAAATGTGGTGCCCGGGACTCAACGAAGCACTTCCTGTGTGACCATCAGTGAAGGGGGTGAGACCAGGAACTCCCTTGATGTGGACCCTGTGTTTCAATTAATAGAGTGTAAGACTGAAGGTTTAGCATTAGCAGCAGACCCACATGCTTGAGTTACATTAGCTTGAATTCAAACCTAAAGACTGTTTTACTAACAATTCATTAAGAAATCAGATATCATCTATTCTTTATGCAAGCAATCAATTATTTGAGGGACTAGGATAGTGAAAGATAAGAGGGTGAAGAGCTTGCTGTGTACGCATGAGAGCAGTGTCTTACTATGTGAAAACATTGCTGGAGGGAGCAGAAGAAATGAACCCATCACCTGGGGCTGAAGGAGATTTGTACAGAAGCAGAGCTAACAAAATTGTGTCCTCTTGGTATAAAGAGATTGGCAAAACCCAAACAATTCTCCAGTGCAATGAGATGTACTTAAAGCTGTTCTCTTTGACAGGTGTCTTAACTTCCTTCCTGGTCTTTAGGCATCGTTATATGAGCAGGTATTAAAACCATCTGATGTCAGCCAACAGCAATATCTTTTAAATGATCAATAAGTATACTCATAAAAAGATAGTAATTCAATGCAGAATCTGTACAGTTCAAGGACCCCATGTCAATGGTGGCCCCAGAGGAGCTTGTCCCAAAGCAGGACTTTGGTCAACAGGGCTCACGTTCTCCGTTCATTTCCATTCTCTGTGGTAACTGCAGAGCAACCAATGAACTCATTACCACTGAGCTTGAAGCTGCAGTGGGAAGTGTGGCCATTCACAGACTCTAGGGATGAACAGAAAATGGGATTACAGGCTATTGAAAGTGGCAAATTCCAATGAGACATGAGATATAGTCACACTATGTGAGAGAATCCTTCCCACAATGTGTCAGGTATGTGGCTCCCACATGCTGAATTTATTACTCTCTAACACTATTGGGTCACACTTGGGGATGAGGGTGTGTGTGTGTGTGTGTGTGTGTGTGTGTATGTTTGTATAAGCGTGTGTATGGGTGCATATGTTAAGAATCTACTTTTATGAATTCAGAAATTGCACAATTAGAACCTAACTTTTCATATGTAAAATATAGGTTAAACAGCCTCGTAGAAAACCTGTCCAAAAAGGGCAACAGTGGAAGAGTGCAGTCACAGAGCACTCATCTAACATAAGCAGGCCCTGGGTCAGTCTCCAGTACCTAGACAGATAGGTAGACAGATAGATATATAGATAGATAGATTAGATAGGTAGGTAGGTAGGTAGATAAATGATAGAAGATAGATAGATAGATAATAGATACATAGATAGATAGATAACCCCCAAATAACCAAACTAAACAGTAGATAATTTAAATTAAACCCCTTAATTTGCTGTTCATTACAGAAGAAATATATTATAGAGAAGTTTGGTGGTGTTCAAAATCCCCCACTCCCAAAATAGAGTAATTGCATTAGAATAACTAGATTGCATTTTAAAGTGTTTACAGGGGCAGAAAACCTTTTTCCACCATCAATTCTATCACGTCAACACACGGCCATATTGACATACAAAATAATGCTCTGTGTTTCTGAGGCCAAGTTGACCTTCCTCTAATCTCCCAGATAAAACAGGAAGAAGTGAGAGGAAGAGCACAGTGGCTCCAAGTGTTACCAGTTCTCTTCCAAGCTTCCTTCCCTCAAAGCACTGTCTAACCCAGCCTCCCACAGAGGGTGTGAAGAAGCCATGAGAGCTACGGTGGCCACGCCCTACATGAGAAATAACAGTACCTGCTCCAAGCGTCTGTTTGCGTGTAGGTATACACATGTTCGGCATGTATGAGTGCACCATGCACATATGTGTGTCATTCACATATGTGTGTTTCATTCACATATGTGTGTGCTGTGCACTTATATGTGTGCCATGTAGGTAGGAAAAATTAGCTGCTTTTCTGGCAGTCATTATTTTATTTGCATAAAAATGCATCAAAACATGTAAAAATGATCTATCTCTTTACAGCCAGAAGAAAAAGGATACCATACTGCCTTAATACCTATATGGAAGGCCTGGTGTTGGTGGCATGCACCTTTAATCACAGCACTTGAGAGGCAGAGGCAGGCTGATCTCTGTGAGTTCAAGGTCAGCCTGATCTACAGAGTGAGTTCCAGTACAGGTTCCAAAGCAATACAGAGAAATCCTGTCCTGAAAAACAAACAAAACAAAAACAAACAAAAAAAACTGTATATGGACACAGCATCTTTTTTTTCTAACATGCATTGTATTAGATCAGTTTAAAACTTGTTCTAACAATAGCATTGTACTCTAATGCATCGCTATATATGAGACAATAAATAGCTTACCGTTTGGGGAAACTGAAAGTAATATAAACTATATTCTACAGAGGACTCAAATTCAGCAGCACCCAGTTGTCCACTGATTTAATGTAGACCTCAAACACTTTTTGCATATTCAGTTTCTGATCAGTTAGAAAGAAATACACTAAATATAGCAACAACAACAAAAATCTAAAGCCATGTTGGTATAGTGTTAGAAACATTCTTGCCATGGTGGCAGGTTAAATGCAGTGTTTAGAGCAGTAGGTTCTCTGAAAGCTATTGGGTCCTAGAGTGTGAAGTAATGGGAATAAACTGTTATCATATTAGAGTATTCGAAGTGTCTACCTATTGCTATACTGAGGTCAATGCATCCAAAGACATTTCAAGATAATATCTTTAGTTTGTTCATCAAAACAAAAAACCAAGGGTAGCTTGTCCAAGAAAATACAGATAGCGATCCCAAACCAGGGTCTTGGATCCCAAGACTCGTGTTCTTTCCCACTGTACCAAGCTTGTGTAAAACTCCCAGAGACACATTTTAAACAGGATGTGCAATTTGGAAAACTTAGAATTATAACCTTGTGCCCTGATTATTTCCATCAGTATTTATTTTTAAATCTTTCTCCGTCCCTAGAGTTTTCTCTTTTGGATCATTGTTATCTGATTTTCCTAAACATTCTTGTTTATCTTTCACTTTCTCTACATAATTGCTTTTCAATTTTAGGCCTTGTTTCGCCTTTTATTTTTATTCTGAGTTTATTCTTATGTTTTCTAAAAATCCCAAAAGTGACACTGTTATGTTTACTAAACCCCCAGAAGGGCAGGACATTATCATCAATAACTTGGATGCATCTTATGTATTCTAGAGATGTACAATTGTGTTTAAAATTCACCTTTCTAAATTTTTAGTTAACGAAAGCTCTTTTACTACTTTAAATGACAAAAGTTGCTTTTCAAGCTATGAGATGGTTTGTTTGTTTGTTTTTTTTAATAGGATGAATGTTGTTAGGATAAAGAATAAGACTCTGGCACGCAATCAACAACAATTCAGTGGAGAAGCAGAATTTCTGATTGATGTATCAGTTTAAAGCAAATTATGCATTGTCCAACTCAGGAAGTAAGAGTCTTCCAACGTGTTCGAAATGTTCTCTGGCAGAGAGTTGGAAGCTTGAAGCACAGAACACAAGCCACAGGTTATGGTGTTTATAGCATCCCATGTCTTCTGCTTCTGAGAAACGAGCATGAGCACTTTGAAGCAAAGCATAGAACACAGCACATGTGGTGACTGCTAACAGGCGTATGACTGCCATGTTCACAGCACATAGTCTCAATATTGTTAGGTTTACACACGGTAGAATGAGACGTCATTAGGAATTTTCAAAGAGAAACCAAAGCTCCAGTTCTAGCTTCTTAGGTGTGTAGCCTTAGGGGATTTATTCCCTGATTCCCTGTCCGGAGCAATAACGGCACTGTAACAGCTGTGAGAACACTCACGGTTCTTGTTTATCTTTCACTGATCAGTGTGATGCTGCTGTGGGACTTGAAGATGAAAATACTGAGATGTCTTAGGATGAAAGAGAAGGAGGCAGAGGAGAAAGCCAAAGGGCAGGGCAAAACTTTTAAGATAACAGTATTCTAGAATCTGGACTGACCTGGCGGGCGTTGGTGGCACACGCCTTTTTTTTTTTTTTTTTTTTGGTTTTATAAGACAGGGTTTCTCTGTATTGTTTTGGAGGCTGTCAGTCCAGCCTGGCCTCAAATTCACAGAGATCTGCCTGCCTCTGCTTCCCGCGTGCTGGGATTAAAGGCGTGCGCCACCACCGGTTTAATCCCAGCACTTGGGAGGCAGAGGCAGGCGGATCTCTCTGAGTTTGAGGCCAGCCTGGTCTATAGAGCAAGTTCCAGGACAGCCTCCAAAGCAATACAGAGAAACCCTGTCTCGAAAAACCACAACAACAACAACAAACTAAACAACAAAAAGAGATTCTTCTGGGCTGATAATTCAATAAATAAATCATCTTGAAAAATTTTCCCCTGGAAGATAACCCACAAAAATAAGTCTGACAAATCTAATGAGCTTAGATTTAGACTTCATGTAATAAATAATTTTTAAGCAACTTTGCATAACTTTATTGAAAAACCAAAGACATTTTCTCCAAAGTCATGTTGCTTTGCAGTATGTGATTGAGAGAAAAATCACCATTTAAAGTTAACTGTAAATGTAAATGAAGCCCCCCAAAAGGAATATGCTTCAAAATACATTTTTTGTGATATCTGCAACATTTTATCCTAGGGTAATATAATTTTAAATAGGAAGGACTCTATGAGGAGACTGCGAAGTCCTGAGTGAATGTGTGTTGTTGACAAAGGGCATGGCCGTGTCACAGACCCCAGTGCCTCAGACCCATGGACATGGCTGGCAAAGCTTTCCCAGGTGAGACTCAGAGACATGACAAAGCCTTCCTCTAGTCCAAGGCCAAGTGTTGAGAAATGACTGACCTTTCACTAAGACAAGCACCCATGCAGCTTCATCCTCCCAGCATTTAGGGCCCAGACAGCTCCCCTACAGAGACCTCCTACCAACATTTGCTAGCCCCGCCTCCTGGTGGTGTACATAATAAACAGGCTGAGTTCCCAACCTCCTAGATGGTGGTGCCATGTACCAGGGCAAACACAGCCCACCTGATCCCAGCTTTTCTCTATGAGTGTCTGCCACTTCTTCAGTGACTGTCTTTTCTCCAGTGCCTT